AAAGATCGTCCTCGTCGTCGACAATGCTATCCCCATGGCCGCGCAAATCGATGCACAGGCACTGGCAGTGGATCATGCTAGTCACCTCCGACTTAAGTTAATTACAAGATTAATTAATGTATCAATCACAAACCAGCAACAGATACTTACGCAGAAGTGGGCCCAGGTGAGCGCCGAGTAGCCACCGCCGTGGAGCAGGAGGAGCACTGGACCCGGCTTCTCCGGCTTCTTGGTGCGGTAGATCCGGAAGGTTCGCTGCTCATCCACCTGAACGTCATCCTTCTCCGCGAAGAACTCGCTCCACAGGCCTGGCTTGTAGTCCCGAATGCGGGACTTCTTAAACGAGTCCCTGCAATTGGGCAAATCGGGTAGTAATTGCGAACTCCCCCATCCCAGAATCCTCTACTTACGCTCTACCGATGCGCCCGCCAGGAATTGTGGGTGGCAGCTTGCCCTTCAGCATCGTGCGCTGTAAACTCGACATTGATTCGATTGTCTCCGCAACGGGGTCAACAGGTGGTGCTCCTACGATGCAGGTGCAAGTGTTTATTCGCACTGCTGTTTCTGGGAAATATCCGTTTTCAAAAACAAATAAAATAGCTCCAACGATGATACAGTTGCAGTGTGACCGCAGACGAGAAAACAAATTTGACGAGAGCTGGCAGCACCCCTGCTAGAACTTTATTTGGCAATGCCTTCATCTGGTAACGCCTTACTTTAACTGATTTTAATTCAAATTGGAAATTAAATGCGTCTTCATTCCGATACTATAAAATTTGATTAATAGGTTTTAGCACAACTATGCGTCGAAAAAAAGCATTCTCCAGTTTTAATCATCTGAATGATTACTTTATTTTTATTAAATTATTAAAATTAAATATAGTTCAAATTTTACATATTTATTTATATTTATATATATTTCAATCTTTGATTAGTTATCATAAGTTAGTCTAACAAAAAGGTACCTGTACGAATCACAAGTACTCCACAGTGAATTTGCACGAACCTTATCAGCATAGCAAATACTTACCTTAATGGCAAAATAACGGCCTAAGTAATGGCCTTTCGTTAAGTGGAAGCCAAGAACAACATTTAAAGCGGTAAGCATTTTAAAACACGTTTTTTAGAATGCCAACAAAAAAATGTTTGGATGTTATTAAGATGTTTGACCTATTTGACGGCAAAGACAGCTAGTTTTAAACAAACAAAGCTCTCAACGAGTTGCTACTGATACACACATACAGTCAGACTTCGCTTAATGGAACAATGAGGTGTTTTAAATAAGTTAACACAAATTACGAATAAAGTATCTTAAAATGCCAACGATCTTAGTTTTAACACAAAAACGATTTCCTGATAAGGAAGTTTTACTGTATTATTCATTGAATTCCGGATTAAACAAAAACGGAAACAGCACGGGCCGGATTGTTCAGTTGCCTGATGGAACGCGACGTGCTCACACCGAAAACTAGAACTCTGCGTTGATAAGGCCTGAAAACAACTCGAAGTTATTTTGACCTCATAAAAAGAAAGATAAGACATTGTTGGGTATGTATCGGCAGTGGCGCTAAAATCTTAACAAAGTGCATCATATATTTAAAGTATCTTTGTTGTGTACAATAAGCTTTACAATAAGGTGAAAATTATGGATTTGTCTAATTGACATTTAAGACTTTATTCTGTTAGGTTAAAATAGGTGTGTTAACAAAACCACTTAATAACTTTAAACTTTTTTTTTAGTTCAAGTTTTGGTATTATCATGAACATTATTTTAGATTAGCCAAGGAAGTCTGAATATAAAATTGTTTAAAGTCAATTTGGACAATTATTAAAAAACATTTCAAATGTTAAAATTTGCCACCCTTAAGGGTTAAAGTTTTCGCAAGCCTGGCAACTTCTAAAAAACAGCTGTCGGCTATTGCGCTCTCACTCTTGGATCCCTGTCCTTTTCATTTGCCGGCAGAATTGCACTTTTGCACTTGTTTTTCCCAATTAAGCGGTCAAATTGGCGTCAATCTAAAGTTTTAGTGACTCTGACGCCGCTTCCCATACTGATAACCGGAATGTTAGTACATCACTTTGTGTGCTAATAGCTATTTCGACATTTTGATAAGGTGAGATGGGTTGATAAGCTAATATTTTTTGCACAACCACAGGTGCAACTGTTGTTGTTGGGGCTATTTGTTTACGTTCATATGTAAATTTGTTTTGCCCATAAATTCAGATTAACCAGTTGCGACACGTTTACGGTTCGTCGACTGCGAAAATTAAGTTCGTTATTAAAGTTTCACCCACCCACAGATGAACATGACCGCCAACGGGAACGGAACTGCTCAGGTTTTGGGAGCCGGCATCGAATTCGTGGCCCAGCAGAAGCTTCAACCGGGATCTAAGATTTACGAGCGCGTGCAGCAACTGGGCGCGTTTTTTAAAAAGCAATTCGGAGAGGATCCAGAGTTCTTCGTTCGAGTGCCAGGCAGGTGAGTTGTTTCTTCTTTTCTATTAAATGAATAACCCCCCACTGATAATATCTATTCCTAGGGTCAACATCATAGGCGAGCATGTGGACTACTGCGGCTATTCGGTGCTGCCCATGGCAGTTAGCCAGAGTATTTTCCTCGCGGTTGCCAAAAACCCGGATGACAGCCAACTCCAGCTTAGGAATCTGGAGGAGACCAAGTTCCCGGGCTATGATGTGGATCTAAAAAAGCTCAGGTGGGTGATTCATCTAACAATAGTTTACAGACCTTAATCACCAGAGATCGGAAAAACCTGCCACGTTTAATAGACATTTGTTTTCTCTTTTCTTTCCTTTTAAGTTTTGAAAAGATTTAAATGCCGGAAATATTATGCTTGTCATATAATATAGTTTTACATATGTAATATTTATATTTCCGTTCATTTTTTGAAAATTTAATTATGATCTGCTGAAAATCTTTATAAGCTTAATCACCAGAGATCGGAAAAACCTGCCACGTTTAATAGACATTTGTTTTCTCTTTTCTTTCCTTTTAAGTTTTGAAAAGATTTAAATGCCGGAAATATTATGCTTGTCATATAATATAGTTTTACATATGTATATTTATATTTCCGTTCATTTTTTGAAAATTTAATTATGATCTGCTGAAAATCTTTATAAGCTTTAAGCCACCAGCAAAGAGGAATGACTGGGTACGTGCGAGAATATACTGCTTATAACAGTACAGTAAACTATAGGATATAGTCAACTCAAGGGAATAATCTGAAATTATATAAAAGCAACACCTTAGGCAAAAACCGTTAGAAACACACAAAATGTAACCCATAATTTATTAAGTATATAAACATATTGATATTTATTTATATAAAGTTAAAGTTTAAAACTATACGCTAACTAAGAGCAGTTATTCGTAATTGAGAACGACCAGCTAAATATTTTCATTTTTCAATTTCCCTATTTTAGTATTGAGCTGCCAAAAAGTGGAGGACCGGCGTGGTACAACTATTTCCTGTGCGGCATCAAAGGCATACAGGAGAACCTGGGCAGCCAGTGGAAGCCCGTCGGAATGCGCATTGCTGTGGACGGCAATGTGCCGCTGGCTGCAGGACTGTCGAGTTCCAGTGCCATGGTCAGCTCCGCTGTCCTGGCAACTGCCCACGTTCAAGGTAAGCAGCTGGATCGCAGGGAGCTGGCTTCCATTTCGGCCAAGTGTGAGCAGTACATTGGCACCCACAGTGGGGGTATGGATCAGGCTATCGCTTACTTGGGACGAGTAGGCTGTGCTCACCACATAGAGTTCCATCCCAAGCTCAAGGGCACTCCGGTGACATTGCCAGCGGGCAAATGCTTCGTGGTGGCTAACAGTCTGGCGCAAAAAAACAAGGCCGCTTCATCGGATTACAACGAACGAGTGGTGGAGTGCCGACTGGCCACCCGATGGCTGGCCAAGCAGAAGGGTCTGATCAACTGGCAGGACATTGTGCGCTTCATAGATCTGGAGGAGGCTTGCCAAATGGATAACGAGACTTTCGAGAAGTTGATTAAGGACACCTTGACCAAGTGGAACTACACGCGAGCGGATATCTGCGAGGAGCTGGGAGTCACCGAACAGGAACTTGAGACCAAGTTCCTCTCCGCCAACACGCGCCACATGGAGCAGTTCAAACTGCGTCAACGTGCTCTGCATGTTATTCAGGGTGAGTTAATCAGGGTTTTAAGATTGTATCGGAAACATTTTTCTGATTTTGCACATTCATGAAATTAATTGATCACAAAATGAATAATTATACTTAATGATTAAGACATTGACAGCACTCTGTTATTGATTAAATACCTTAAAAATATTTATCAATCGGATCACGAGTTCACAAGTTATTGACTTTATTTTTGCTTTGCAGAATCCGGTCGCGTGGCGAAATTTCGGAAGATTTGTGAGCAACTGGCCGTCGGACCCAGTCGGGAAGGTGCCAAGCAACTGGGCGAGCTGATGCGACAATCTCACGAGAGTCTGCGGGAGCTCTACGAATGCTCCCATCCAGATGTGGAGCGCCTGATTGCCATATCCAACGAGCAGAATGTTAGTGCTCGCGTTACAGGAGCCGGGTAAGAAGTTAGAAAACCTTGTAGCTCTCTAAACTAACTGAAATGCTTTATTTTAGTTGGGGTGGTTGCATAGTGGCCATGTGCGATTCCGTTGAAGCGGCTGACGAGTACATAAATGCTTTGAAGCGGGACTATTACGCCCATCTGCCATCCCATCTCCTGGAGCGCCATCAGCCCAACAACTTCAGCGAAGTTGTCTTTGCCACACTTCCGGGAAACGGAGCCGAGTTATATATACAGTGAACGTTTTTCCAGCATTTAATCCAACTTGTATACCAAAAGCCCCTTTCAGTCACTATAATTCGGTGGTCATTTATAGAGAAAACATTTAATATGTATGTACAATATATTAACAATTTAAAAGCTAGAATACAACAAGGCACGTGGGAAACGGAACTCATCTGGGCACGACGGCAGCTTTGAGATTTCTATCTGCGACTCAGGTAGCCGGCGTTCTTGAACAGCTTGTAGACCTGTTCCCTCGGAATTTTCTCAGCCTCGCGATGCACAACGGCCATTTCCTTCTTCGATAGCAGGGATTCCTTGGCCAGGTTGGCGGCGATCACGGGATCATTGTAGAATCGCGCACTCTTCGATAGCTCGGCCGGCAACTCCGACTCCCACTGGGCATTCCTAACCACCGAGGGATGGGCATCGGCTGTGGCATATCCTTGGTACGGGTTGGCCGGTTCGTAGGAGTGTGCGACCGGCAGACCCAACCGATGGTGGTAGAAGAACTGGGCCCGAACCGAACTCACGGCCAGAACCAGACATCCAGCGAGCAGCGCTACTTGGCAGGCGGTCAGCATGATTTGCTACAGGAGGGGTGAAAAGGAGCAGGAGCTGGCATTATTGTCCAACGTTCTAATAAAGCGATACGGACAGATTTATTGCCGCCGGTCAGTGGCAGTTTTTAATCTACAAGTCGGCTGTCAGTTTCGTGCGTCATAAATTATGTACGGGAAAATCAATTATCGCATATGGCCAATGGAGTGGGCAGCGCGGAGATCTTGGCTCAGACTCTTACAGTTGCTAATCCGTGAACTTTTTTGCAACTGGAACTGGCTTTTTTATTGATAAGAATTGGACTGGCTGCGAGCTAAAGCGAGCTTTAATTGTCAAGCGTAGAGTGCTCCAATTTGGTCTGAACAAAGCAATCAAATACAGTGGCCTCCATCGGATTAGATTTAGTCATTACTTGTTTATTTTGGAACTGTGGCATTTAAAAAATTATATATTTCAGATTTAGATTAAGAAAGTCCTTAGAATTTATTTATTAAAAAATTATTTATGCCGCTTCTAATATTTATTCAATTGATTTATTTTAAATGAGACGTTCCTTAAAGATTGATTTGATTGATTTTCTATTTAGAAATAATCCTTGACTATTCCTTGAAGTCACTAATTTTCTGTTTGTTTAAGTATTCAGTAGTGATATTTTTCGTTTTATAATTTAATATTACTTTTGATCGACTGGAAATCTTAGATATGCAGTTTCATAAAAGTAGCTTGAACTTTTACAAATGAACTTCGAGCTTCTACCCTGAAATAATCCTTGAAAAGGTGACATTGTTCGAAATCCACACATTTTTCTAATTTAATTAAGATCACAGCCACTGTTCATGCATGTTCACTGGGACTATGCGCCATTAAATGCATTTACATATTCCAAGTCCATTTTGATACTTTGATTCAGCCAAAGTCAAGGTTACGATCCCACACAACCGAATCGGATTTCGGTTCTCCAAAGCACCCACTCGCACAACACACTACACTCACTTTGATACGGACTTATTTCAGGGGCTAATCCTCGGAGAGAAGCACTTCAACCGAAACTGGAACACCTGGGTCTGGGTGAAGTTGAGACTGTAAACTGATCATAGAATATCGAGGCGGCGAACTTTTATTCGCTTGCCGTTGAATGCCACAAAAACGAGTTGAACTCAAGTTTGTGAGTCAACCGATTTCGAATCTCGCTCAAAGTCGCTTCTGAGCGCCGAGAATGAGTCAAGTTTTTCAGCTGGCTGCTTTACATTTTATTAAATTAATTATGGTCGGAGCGGAGTAAAGGGGACTGCAATCTGGTAGCGACTGACCTAGGCCTAGGCGCTCAGATCGAGCAATTAAAAACAATAATATCTGTGTCTCCGTTTCTCATGCTCCATAAAAGCGCCCCCCAAAAAAGGTCGGATTGCCTGCCGGCAGCATTACGCATGGGAAAAGTTTCAAAGATATGTACAAGTATGTGCGCCAAATAAACTCGGAAAAATAGTTTATATATTAGTACAAACAAGAAAGGAAAGCTAACTTCGGGCGGAGCCGAAGTTGAAATACCCTTGCAGAATATTCTGCAAATTATATTCTCCAAAATTATTCATATGATGCATTTTTAATACTCATAAAAAATCCCACCTTCCTAACTTTAAAAACACCAAAGTTATTTCATTTCCGATCAATCAGTTATATGGCAGCTATAGGATATAGTCGGCCGATCCTTATGAAATTTAATATGTCGAATTGATTGGGCAAAAATAAAACCCATAGAAAATCCCAACTTCCTAACTTTACAAACACCAAAGTTATGGCATTTCCGATCAATCAGTTATATGGCAGCTATAAGATATAGTCGGCCGATCCTTATGAAATTTGGTAGGTCGGATTGATTGGCCAAATATAAAACCCATAGAAAATTCCAACTTCCTAACTTTACAAACACCAAAGTTATGACATTTCCGATCAATCAGTTATATAGCAGCTATAGGATATAGTCGGCCGATCCTTATGAAATTTGGTACGTCGGATTGATTGGCCAAATATAGAACCCACAGAAAGTCCCAACTTCCTAACTTAACAAACAGCAGAGTTATGGCATTTCCGATCAATCAGTTATATGGCAGCTATAGGATATAGTCGGCCGATCCTTATGAAATTTAATATGTCGAATTGATTGGGCAAAAATAAAACCCATAGAAAATCCCAACTTCCTAACTTTACAAACACCAAAGTTATGGCATTTCCGATCAATCAGTTATATGGCAGCTATAAGATATAGTCGGCCGATCCTTATGAAATTTGGTAGGTCGGATTGATTGGCCAAATATAGAACCCACAGAAAGTCCCAACTTCCTAACTTAACAAACAGCAGAGTTATGGCATTTCCGATCAATCAGTTATATGGCAGCTATAGGATATAGTCGGCCGATCCCGGCCGTTCCGACTTATATACTGCGTGCAAAGGAAAGAAGGGTGTGCAAAGTTTCAACTCGATAGCTTTAAAACTGAGAGACTAGTTTGCGTAGAAACAGACAGACGGACAGACGGACAGACGGACAGACGGACAGACGGACAGACGGACAGACGGACATGGCTATATCAACTCAGGAGGTGATCCTGATCAAGAATATATATACTTTATAGGGTCGGAGATGTCTCCTTCACTGCGTTGCACACTTTTGACCAAAATTATAATACCCTCTGCAAGGGTATAAAAATAAACCAATCATAACTATTCTATAACCTCTTCGTAATTAATACCAAAAGTTTATTTTAGTATCATTCCCATATTTTCTTAAAAATTATTTTTTGATCAGGTCCAGTTTTTTGACCAAAAAAAATATAAATGTTGCACAGATAAAAATTTTTTATAATCCAAAAAACTGGAATATATTTGAGTCTAGCAGATATCTCTCGGAGCTACATTTTTTGCACTGTATAAGTAGTACAGCGATTACAATGATTGACAAGTTTGCTTAGAATCCATGTCCGACTCAATCCGAGCTCTGTGCGATTTTGAAAGTGCCGATTGACCCTGAATTTAATGCTGAGCCAGTAGAGTCTGAAATTTGAGCCGAGCTCGTTGGCTGCACATGTTTGACCCTAATTTGCCACGGGTGTCGGGATGTCTCAGTGTTGGGGAATATCTGGGGTTATTCAACCGATCGAATAAGGCGGAAGCAATAGCCCGGAGTTGCCCGCACTGGGCATTTGGCATAATCACCCGCCGGATTGCAGCCTTGAACTTTCTGAATCTCAGGTGCGTATCTTGGCCTACGATTGGTATTTACATTGTTCGGGCTTTAGTTTCGACTTCGACTTCATCTCTGGGAGTGGTCTCTTATTTATTGGCCGTGGCAGATTTGATATTTAATTAATGACCATTTAGCGGCTTTGTAGATGCATATTAAATAAACAAATTGCCTGGCCCCTGCATTGTTGGCTGCGGCCTACGTTAATGAGCTTGGTCTTTGAACTTTATTAGGCTTTGTCTGCGGCTACGTGACCGAAAATTCAGAGAAACTCATTCACTGCTTCGGATGCTTTAAAAGATATATTTCAATGGAAAATGTGTATAGAAAATTATGATAAATCATTTTTTTGGTATTCATCAAATGATCTAAAATTTTAAAAATTTGTAATTCGATAATTAAGTTTAGACATTTATTTAAAAAAAAAGGTTGTAACCAATTTCATCCTTAAATTTACATTATTCTACTTTTAAATTCTTAAAGATATTACATTATACAATATAACATAGTTTTAAAAGATATTTATTACAACATGTTTAAAAGTACCAAGATATATTATTTTGGCTGTTAATAATATCTTACACAAACTGTATAAGAAGTTTGATTTCCATGGGAAAATTTGAATAAAACCAATAATAAGTGCAATTTGAAAAGCAGCTGGATTGAATTCCACTAGTGACACTGTATATTTTTTCCAAAATAAATGAACCCCTTTTGTTATGTGTTTGGCTATGATTTTAATGCGCATTGCCTCGACCCACACGCAGTGCCGTCAAGGACAGGCAATGCAATTTCAAGTGCACGAATTGGTTGGCCAATGCAAACGACTATCGGCCGATGCGGCGTATGAGCAACATCCGCTTTGGCGGGGCGTCGCATTAAGTATACGCACCCGTCGAGTGAAAGTGCTGCGAGCTGACCCTGAACGAGAGTCACGCCTGCCACCTCCTACCGGCTTTCAAAAAGCAATTTCAAATTTAGAACTGAGCGTAGTGCCAGAGAACTGAGAGAGAGTCGATTCTCCGGGCATTCTCTATTCGATTTGATTCTCACCGCCATTGCACTCTCTAGTGAGTTTTCGTTGCACTTGGTCGGCCAGTCGACGTTTGGCAGTTTGGCGGGCGGTTTAGCTGTCGCTTTCAGCACACTTTTCGCATAGGTGTGCTTTAACAAAAGTTTTACCCAGTTCTTTTCCAGCGGAAATTGTATAATAATTACCGAAAAAACTGACCTGGACTCAATTCGGATTTGTGTCAGTGCTAGAAAGAAAATGCTGCAGCGGCAGAAATTGTCAGATAGCAAACGATTTGGCAGCAGCCTTCCCTCAAGAACCATTCCCCATCGGGCACCCAAGTGAAGTGGAGACAATGGCTTTGGCAGCAGCAACAACAGCAGGACCTTCGCATGGCGCACTGGCCATGGCCGTGAATTCGACTGGTGGTGCTATCCATCAATACGAGGAGAACGCCGAGCACCTGCGCCAGCTGTTCAGCCTGAGCAAGCTGGTGTCCTTTAGCATTGCCCACATCGCGTGCACCGCGGGCAGCAGCAGCGGCGACAACTACATGTCCGTGGTGAAGCGAGTCACTATTAGCCAGGCGCCGGCTGACAAGGATCAGGAGCTAGCGAACAGCGAAATTGGTAAACATTGTATATAGAGATTAGGACCCAGGCGCCATTAAACTCATCTCATTGATTTTCTCTTCAATACCCTGTAATTTAAGTCTTTTTAAAAGTGGCTTGCTTGGGTGGCAGCTCTAAAAGTTTTCTGATCAAGAAAAAACATTATTGATAGGAATTTTTTAGATTGATTGCAATCTTTTATTTAAAATATAGTAATTCTTTATGGAAAACTCACAGCTTTGTGCATCGACTTTAAAGCTTGACAAAAGATTCTTGAAATATCAAAGAATTTGTTCAATAATATAAAGAAAAAGGTATTTCGATTATATTTTTAATTTTAACTCGCTTTACAGTAACCCTTAATTTTATTTTAAAACCCTAAAAAGGGTATAACCAGAACTGGAACTTTTGTTTCTACCGATGAGCGGTGGCGTCGAGTGGGTTGACCTTGTTGCACGCATTCTAAATGCATTGCACCCATACACCCAGGCGTATACGTAATATAGATTCGCTAAAGGTCAACACGCACACTCGCAAACGAGAGAGAGAGGGAGAGCCGCCGCTCCGCTCTCACGCACGCAAGGCCACCGCCAATTCATTCATAAATACAAATCTTAGACCGCGACGTAAACAAAAGTCAGCTGTTCTACTCTGCCGCTCTCACAGTTCGTTTTGCTCTGCATTTCCTCCGACTCCGCCATCTGTACCCCCACCCTTTACACAGAAACAAAAATTAACATGATTTGATGATGGATAATTATTGATTTTTTTAATTCAATTGGTAAAAATGCAATTACTACATATATTTTCTAACAATTAATTTAACAAAAACATATACAACGGTATAGGACAGATGGTGCAGTTTATGATTTCGAAAGATAAAGAAATAACATCTTAAGCCTTATTATGATAATATAATACGAAATAACACAAATAAGAATCATATGAAAAATGACGTGCGTACTAGCATTTTTTCTGTGTAGTTACAGTCATCATCAAGAGGCAAATCGCGAGTCTGTCGCGCCGGCAGCTCTACCGGTGCGAGGAAGCCTTCAGCAATGAGATCAACGCCTACCGATATTTGGCGCCTCTGTTGGCCGCCCACAGCCGCCAGCAACTTTTTCCGGTGTGCCATATCGCGGAGAGCCAGGATCGCAGGGATCCCGACGGCGGAGAGCCGATTATCGTGCTGCAGGACCTCAAGGCCTTGGGTTTTCGCATGAAGAATCGTCTGGCTGGCTTGGAACTGCGAGACTGTCTCCTAGTTATGAAGGTAACTGAAATAGGTTTCACACCGCCTCAGAAAACATCGATAAACAATGTGTCCCCTTTTTAGAAACTGGCCCAATTGCATGCCGCTTCGCTGGCCGCCCAGGAACTGGAACCCACGTTTTTTGCCTCCCAGGCCCAGCATCTTCAAGAGATTGTATACTGCGATGAGGCGGCAGAGTTCTATGCCACCATTCTGGACACCTCTGTGCAGCAGGCATTGGAAAGTCTAGATGGCTCCAATGCAGACGAAAGCCTAACAAAACCCATTCGGCTGCTCGATGATCTTCGTTGCAATTTGTTTGGAAAACTGAAGCAGGAGATTAACGCGGCTGCAGATGCTTCACATAGTGTGATCTGCCATGGTGACCTGTGGGTGAACAACATTATGTTCCGTGCCGAACCGGAGGAGGTGATCTTCTTCGACCTGCAGGCCATGCGCCGTTCCTCGCCCGTTTTTGATATTCTTCACTTTATTTACACCAGCACGAGAAGGCAGCTGAGGGATGTGCACACGGACACCATGCTGGCCGCCTACTCCGAGGCGCTGGGTCAGGAACTAAGATACCAGCTGGAGGACACGCCCGCTGCTGAGCGATTGGAGGAGCTATGCGAAGCCTTTTCGCTGCAACGTCTCAGCGCGGATTATGTGAGGCAAGTGCACTACGGCCTGGCCATCGGCATGTGGATCCTGCCAGCTGTCACCTTCGATCCGAACAACCTGCCCAATCTAGACGTGATGAGTGAGCAGAATCTCACGGGTAAGGAAATCAAGTGCACCCAGACACTCACTTCCGAGTACCATCTGCGTATCCGGGAGCTGGTGATGGAGTTCTACGAGCTCGGCTATCTTCAAATGGAAAAGCAAAACTTTTAAAAGTATTTATAGTCATGTAGAAATAGAATTAACTTATAAACTCTAACGTTCGCAATAAATAGATGATAGATTTGCCCTTGAGGAACTATAGCTCTCTATTGGAGGTTCCTTTATTACCGAATAGTTGTTCAATTTTTTAACTTACAAAAGTTTCGTAGAAAAAACAAATCTGGCGGGGGTAAAAGCCAAAACAAAGAACTTATAAAGAACAACAGCATGGACATGAATCTGAAGGCTTTATAAGTGTAACATGGATGCGTGGAATTCCAGAAGAGTGTTTCATGGTGGTTAGTTTCGATCTCACTTGTTACCGCCACCGCCCCAGCCGAGGAATCCCTTGACAAAGCCGGTAATCGAAGGACCCTTCTTGCCAGGCGACTCCAGTTTGTCCTCTAGGGAAGGCAGCTCCACATAGTTCATGGCCAGGTCAAAGAAGAGTGGTTTGCAGGGTATGGGCTCCATGTCGGGGGTAAGCTTGAACACGTTGGGGGTCTTGGTGTGCAGTGATTGGTCCTCCTTGTAGAGCGACAAACGTTCGTACAGAGGTTTCGTCGTCTTTTGGGACTTGGTGGTGGTTCCAGCCTCCTCGCTGTTGTCGTCCTCCAGGACACTGTATGCATGGGCGGAGAACTTGCATCCCTCAATGGCAGACACGACCTTCTTGAGTTCCTCCTGCAGTTGGAACTCGGGGCTAGCCTTGCCCTTCAGCGCCTCATTGGCGTATTTTGAGGCGCGTTCGTACAGCGCCACCGCCTCCTTCCACTTCTTCATGTCGATCAGTGTGAGTGCAATGTAGTAGCACCGGAAGGCCTTGAAGGTAATGGCCAGGTTCTCCACCTCGTTCTGGTACTTGGAGTCCTCCTCCAAACCGGTGATCTGCTGCATTTCTGTGACGTTCTGCAGTATGATCTCGTAGAGGCGGGCCAGGTCCTGGGATCGCACTCGCTTACCGTCGCCCACATTTTGTTGGCTTTGCTGGTTGGGATCATCGAAGTTGAGCTTAGCCTACAAGGACATTATGAGTAATTGGAGCTTATAGATATTTATCTTTAGGCTTACCTGCTCCACTAGGCAAAGATTACGCTGCAGCGTGCGGCTGTGGCGAATGTAACTCAAATAAGCCAGAAGATATTGGACGCCTGATACGGTCTGTCCCGTGGTTAGCGAACGTAGCTTGGGATCCTGCTTAATCTCGTCCCGTACTGCCTGGATTGCGTCCTTGCAGTCCATCAGAATACGTTCGATCAACTCTATCTTGGCGTCCTGCTTAGTGGTCTTGGCCAGCGACTTGTCCAGCTCTTGAGCACTGAGCAGAAATAGACGGACCTTCTCTGGACGGACAGTGACCTTGCGACCGCGCCAGTCGATCGTCTGCAGGCCCTCGCTGCTTTCTGTTTTCGTCTGGCTCACAAGGACATCCAGATTCTCAAGCACTCCCTGGGCGCGAAGCTCCAGGATCTCGTCGATTTTGCCGCCGCTGGCGCCACCGCTGATGTTGTAGGCGCAATAGCGCAGATTGGGCGTAAACTCGTTGACTTTGGCCCGATACAGCTCTTGTTCATCATCGGGAAGTGCCTTGGCCAGATTTTCGTACACCACCTGAGCGCGCTTTAAATGCTCGCCAGCGGATTTCCACAGTTGCAGCTCAAAGTGCAGGGATCCGTGCATCCAGGCCACATAGGCCTCGCACTCCAACTTGGTGCGAGCATCGAAGGCCTCCGTCTAAGAACAATTCATGAATTAAACTCGATACAAATTATCGTTTTTAGTGATTAACGGCTTACATTGCACAACTCCTGCAGTTGGAGAGCGTAGAAGCAAGCCCTGCGCAGCTTATTGACCAGATGGAAACGCTTTCGCGGCTCCGTATTGGATTCCTGCTTGAGCTGCATGGCATATGCCCAGGCGCGCTCGGCGCTGATCAGTGGGATGTGAATGAAGCGTTCATCCGCCTTCTTTCCTGTCAACTGGCCAATGGTCACGTCGCGTCGCTTGAAGTGCCTCTTGTCCCCCTGCGGGTACTTCAGTGCCTTCCTCAACCGCCGGATGCGACGGGTGCAGTAGCCCCTATAGCGCTGGAAATCGCCGTGGCGCAGGCCGTGCTGTTGCTGGGCATCCTTGATCATGTGCAGAACTGCAGCGGGAGTGAAAGTTCAGTGCATTAGCATACAGACTTTTAGGTTAAAGGGAGCGGGGGGTCTGGTCCCCCTGCCGACGGACTGGAACCCAACTGGCCACTTACTTTCCACGGTGAAGATCTTGGCTGGCTCTGGCGCAGCCGGAGCACTCTCCGTCTTCTCCAGAACGTCCCCAGTATTCGGATTATCCTCTTGGACGACCATTTTCGAAGCAGTCGACGCAAATCAACGACGTGTAAAAATTAGGGATGTCAAACCAATTGGGATTGTCAAAAACACTGCTAACCATCGATAGATCCGTGGGCGGTTCTCATGCGATAGATATTGGCATTGAAAAATTAATTTTTAAGTGTGCAGATACTCCTTTTATTCTATTTTTTTAAATAAATGCGAATTAAAATTAATTACACTTAATTACAAAGTGTTGTACTTGGTAAAAATGGCTTCAAATCATATACTGAATATAATTGAATGTCCCACATATATATTTTGTTTATTGTATAAAACTACTAGGCCGGGTAGTCTTCAAAGTTAAAAATAGTATTACGAAAATAACCTAAGGAAACTGTATTTTGTAATTATAACTAAAAAGATGTAGAAATTCTCACTCAAAAATAATATACGTGATAACAAGCCCGGACATATAATTTCAATAATAGATACTTCCTGAATTCGATAGCTAAGATTACTCATCTCTATCCACAGTAGTGTTGGTAAACTCTTCAAGACTCCCCCCTTTTGAAACTTGTTGGCTGACACGCAAGAGCGTGCGTTCTGTCTGTTTTACAACAATTTCGGCCTAGTTCGCAGGTAAAATTCAAAGATTTCAGCAGACTGTCAACGCAAAAGTGAAGAACAAGGCCTGCCGCGTGCCAGAAAAAGAAAATTCTCCTTGAAAAGCTCTTGTTTTGGCCACGCTTTGAGGTTATACTTTCACTCAAAGGCGAACGCAGTCACCGCTCCCCCGCCCTACGCCCATAAAGCAGTGCACCAGATTTGTTTTGACGGCCGGGGATGTCGATTTGCAACGTTGACAGTGGACTGAATACCATATAGACGACTGATTAGTAGGGCAAATCCACAATTGATCCATTTCTCCTCTTAACACCAACAGCATGTCGCGCAGAAAGGAGAACGAGGAGGTGGACAAGCAGACGCGCATTGCCATCGTCAGCGATGACAAGTGTAAACCCAAGCGGTGTCGGCAGGAGTGCAAGAAGACCTGCCCGGTGGTGCGCATGGGCAAGCTCTGCATAGAGGTTACGCCCACCTCCAAGATAGCCTCGCTGTCCGAGGAGCTTTGCATCGGTTGCGGCATCTGTGTCAAGGTGGGTCAGCTAGCTACAGCTTTGTAATCTCCAGAATGACCCACACTTGCTTCTTCCCAGAAATGCCCCTTCGAGGCCATCACAATCATCAACTTGCCCAGTAACCTGGAGAAGCACACAACGCATCGATACAGCAAGAACTCCTTTAAGCTGCATCGTCTGCCCATTCCCCGTCCCGGTGAAGTGCTCGGCCTGGTAGGACAGAATGGTATTGGCAAGTCGACGGCCTTGAAGATCCTCGCGGGCAAGCAGAAACCCAATCTGGGGAAGTACGCCAATCCCCCTGACTGGACGGAGATCCTTAGCTATTTCCGCGGCTCTGAGCTGCAGAATTACTTCACCAAGATCCTCGAGGACAACCTAAAGGCACTGGTCAAGCCGCAGTATGTGGATCAAATCCCCAAGGCAGTGCGCGGCGCTGTTGGAGATCTTCTGGACAAGAAGGACGAACGGGAGCTGCAGACCAAAATCTGCGACATGCTCGACCTTTCGCATATCCGGGATCGTGAGATCGCCCAGCTCTCAGGTGGAGAACTGCAGCGCTTCGCCATCGCCATGGTGTGCATTCAGAATGCTGACATCTTCATGTTTGACGAGCCATCATCCTATCTGGATGTGAAGCAGCGTCTTAATGCTGCCCTAACCATTCGCTCGCTCCTGCATCCGACAAAGTAAGTTTGCAAACATCAAGCGATTATTCATATTAAGGACATGCTTTATTTACCAGGTTCATTATTGTTGTGGAGCACGATCTTTCTGTGCTGGATTACTTATCCGATTTTATTTGCTGCCTGTACGGAGTTCCTGGTTGTTATGGAGTGGTCACTATGCCTTTCTCCGTCCGCGAAGGCATCAACATTTTCCTGGATGGTTTTGTCCCCACCGAAAACATGCGTTTCCGCACCGAGTCGCTGACGTTTAAGGTGTCCGAGTCTGCAACGGAAGAGGAGATCAAACGCATGAACCATTACGTGTATCCATCCATGGTTAAGACCCTGGGCAAATTTGAGCTGACGGTAGAAAAGGGCCACTTTAGTGACTCCGAGATTCTGGTGCTGCTGGGCGAAAACGGTACTGGCAAGACCACTTTCATCCGCATGCTGGCCGGCAATCTGCAGCCCGATGGCGAGGTGGAATTGCCAATGCTGAATATCTCGTACAAGCCGCAGAAGATATCCCCGAAATTCCAGAACCATGTGCGTCATTTGCTGCACGATAAGATTCGCGACGCCTACGTGCATCCGCAGTTCATTGCCGATGTAATGAAGCCCATGAAGATTGAGGAGATCATGGACCAGGAAGTGCAGAACCTCTCCGGTGGTGAGTTGCAGCGAGTGGCCTTGGTTCTGTGTCTCGGCAAGCCAGCGGATGTCTACCTCATCGACGAACCCTCTGCCTACTTGGATTCCGAGCAGCGTCTGGTTGCCGCCAAGGTTATCAAACGGTATGTTTTATCTATGTATATTTCGGATAAGCATTCAACTATTGTCTGTTTCCCCTTTCTAGCTACATTTTGCACGCCAAGAAAACTGGGTTCGTGGTGGAGCACGATTTCATCATGGCCACCTACCTCGCTGACCGTGTTATTGTAATTGAGGGTCAGCCTTCAGTAAAAACGACAGCATTCTCGCCACAATCGCTGCTGAATGGCATGAACCGATTCCTCGAACTGCTCGGCATCACCTTCCGTCGCGATCCCAACAATTTCAGGCCCCGCATCAACAAGAACAACTCGGTTAAAGACACGGAACAAAAGCGCTCCGGACAGTTCTTCTTCTTGGAGGACGAGGCTTGCAATTAAGACAGGATCATGGAACTTCATCGATTGGACAGTTCGAATCCCTTTGTTCTCTTCAGCTCCCCTTTGTTCATTTTGCATTCTTTGGTCGAAAAACACACATTTGCTTTCAGCTTATTTTGTTATTGTTGTCGAGGATTAAGTACATTCGAGTCTGGGGATTAATTGTACTTTATTAAAGTGAGTTTTATATACGTTTTTACAGCGAAATAAATAGTAAACCCAAACACAGGAAATAAATGTTGTCTTAAATGAGTCTAGCTAAAATAAACAAATTTTCTTTATAAAAACAGCAAGTGTGTGTTTTACTAAATAAAAATATAATTTTAAGAGACTACTATCATTAAGTGGTCCTCCCTGAAAATAACATATTTATGGTCATTTTTTATAGTTACCCGCCAAATCTGAAAGCGAAAAATAAAAAAACACTTCTGCAAATTAACACGTATTTATTGCACTTAAGCGATAATTACACAAAATACGCACAATAGAAATGTAAATATGGGTATAAATTACATATAAATTTCTGTTATTTCAAATACGATCACAATTCGAAATAAACACAAAGTGGATAACAGCTAGAAACGTTTATAAATGTATAATTTACAATATTTGTTTTTGGATATACCAACGCATGCACAGCATAATTGCAATATAAACGCTTTTGAAGCTTTTAAGTTTATGCGATTTAATCAAATGTACATACAAATTTTTCGAAAAGGCAAATTTTTTGAATTTATAATGTTCTGATCTGTGGCTTGGAAACCACTAAATAACTGACACAAGTATGTATTATAAATAGGTAATTCTGGAGACTTATTCGCTAAAAATTCCATAAAAGTAAATGCGTCAAAAATTGACTCAAATATTTGATAGTTCCCATGTGCAGTTTCAATTTTTGAATCTTAATCTGAGTTTGAGAGTAGAGAGCGCTTTGCAATTAGAGAGTTTAAAGTTACATCAATACGTTCACTTTTTATATAGTTACGTTGCAGAACTTCTTCAGTAGAAGTAAAGTTGGTAAAAATGGACATGTGTCTAAAATTGAGTGTTTGAGTTGATCCAAAAGCTGATCCTATGGTTTATGCAATAATTTAATTTACCTTGTTTATTTTCTGTTATATTCACCATAATTTCTTGTAAATGGAACTTTTAGTGACTTAACTTTAGTGTTGCTACATGCTTAAATAATTGTCGAAATTTTTGCAACAGAACGTATCAAAAATAAATGTATATCATGCAGGAGATTAAAAGATAGAGAACTTCTGAGGTAGCCGACTATGCATCTTCTGCACTGTTCATGAGTGTGGAGACTTCCTGGCCGAGTTCCAATGCATTTTTGCGCAGTTTAAGAACCTGAACGAAAATAACATTAGTAAGTTAAACAAATTTCTTTATTTAGATGGAAATACCTGAGTTCTGAGTTCCTTCTCGCGGGTCACAAGCTCCTGAATTTGTGACATGACTGTGGCGGAGCTGCGCTGATCTATCACCCATCGCAAATAGAGATCTGAAATAAGAGATTACTACCGACTCCATCATATATCGAATATTATAACTTACCGGTCCACAACTCCAAGCTGATGGGCGCCACCGATGGCCATATCACATTAGAATTGGGCTCGTACAGCGGATTCAGCAGTGTCTGGAGAACATCTGGTCGGTTTAGGTAAGACCAAAGGCTCGTAGTCCTGGTGTGCACGTTCAGTTCATTTCGCTCCCGCTCCGAATCGCACAGAAAGGTGCCGTACTGCGAGAAGTGGCTGTGCTCGAAAAGTAGGATCAGCAGTTGTGTGCTAAACTCAAAGCTGCAGGGAAACTGCGTGTACAGCTGGTAGATGCAGTCGAGGAAGAGCACGAAGGTGGCGCCCGAGCTCTTGTTGCGATTCTGATTTGGTGTATAGCAAGAGTAGCGATGACGGGAGGCGAATGGATGGCCCGCCTGGATCCACTCGCGCTCTATCAAAGCCTGCAGACTGTAAAGGAAATACATTAATTCTTATTATAAACCTGAATACTTGCGAGATGATAGCTCACCCCCTCACTGTGCGGCAGTCAGGATTGAGGATAATTTGCACCAGCGAGGTGACAATAAGTGTCGAGTCTAAGCCTTTAGCGCCGTGAACCAGCACTGGACTTCCCTCCTGATCCAGGCACTGCGCCACCACACAAGAGGCGTTCAGAGAGTTCAGCACGAGGCTAAGCCAGCCGCTGCCCTCCAGCCGCGATAGCCACTTGTCCGTGCTGCAGCCCAAATCATTGCAAGCCTCGATTAGCCGTGCAAAGCTATCCAGAATAGAGGCAGGCGAGCTGACGTTGCCAATGGAGCGGTTGACCTTCTTCCACTGTGAGTAGTGCAGATCCGTCTCTGTGTTAGACTTGCCTTTGCCCCATGTGTCCACAATGAAGCCCTTTCGGCTGCGCCCCAGCACCACATTGAGAATGGCCTCGTCGGCCCGGCAGCGTTTGATGCCCTGAATGGACAGCGGCTGGGAACTGCGCATCAGCGTAGCCTGTTAATATGATTCATTGCATTAATCTAATCGAATTGCGCGAATGGTTGCAGTCACTTACGCCATTTTCATGCTTGTAGCTCAGCACGGGAAAACGACCACCGTCCCGGAACGCGGCGGAGAGCACTATCTGCTCATCCGTAATTGCTTTAGGTACAATTAGCGTGGCGCCATATGTAGCACAGACGCTGAAGTCTCTGTTGACGTTGGTGATGCGCCACTCGCAGGCGGCCTGGAGTCCTTGTAGTACACCACCACCACCACCCGCTAGGGCGTCTATCGCAAACCCATTTTGCAGGGGATGGGGAAGGCCGGGGCCCACAGCAAGCGTCGTTGTCGAAGTTGATGGCATGCAAATTGTTATGTTGGCCACATTCGGTGAGGACGCACCGCCCATTCCCACCCCGCTGATAAGCTTGGCGAACTCCAGCTCCGGCCTGCCATTTAGGGGGAGGATAATTGAATTGTAGCCAATTTGCCAGTGATGGGGAAAGTGTGCACTCACCTAAACATCGTGTAGCCGTCTTCTAGGATAGAGTACATGGGCCGGTAGAAGAAGGGATAAAGCAGCTCGGTGCTCTGGATGGCACTAAGCGCCTCCAACGAAGCGGCCACATTGAAGAAGTCCTTGCCGCACTTGATCTCGAGCGAAATGATGCGCAGGTCTTTGCATTTAAGGGTGATGAGGCCGCCGACCACGATGTTCTGTGAAAGACTCGGTTTCTTCTCCACACTGTCAATGTTCTTGTGCAGCAACTGGAAAGGGAAAAAGGAGGATGAGTTTCCAATCTAATTATTAGCGCTCCATTGAAGCCGAAGCACATCCGATTAGGGGAGCAGCCAAGTCACTTACCCACAGCTCCTGGCTGGTCTCCTGGCGCGCGCTGAGCAGCAGATGGTGCCCGGTGATGCACAGCGTGCCAACTGTTGCACCCAAAGCCCCTACATTCGATGGGTCATGAAGGAGGACTCCGTCCAGCTTGGGGGTCTTTATCAGGTCGGCGAATTCCATGGCGTCGCCAGCGGCGGGGTGTCCGATTTGATTTGGCCCGGACTAATTAACTTTTTGCATTTTGCCCCGGCTACCTCCTGTTGCCACTTGATTGCTTCTGTTGACGCCGCCGCTTTTCTCCTTCGCTCTGCTTCGTCGCGGTTCTCCCGCCTTTCGGGGGCCCTTTTTTAAACCCACTTCAGGGCGTACGTCACCGGCTCAGACGGGGATTGGATGGACGTATGGCTCTGCTGATCTTGGGCAACCAATCGAACGCTCTTTGGAATACAAAAACCTTTGTTTCACGCCCCCGCTTACGGCACAGATTGCATTTCTTTCTTTCGATTTCCGTCCGACTGTTTTGTGCTTTGAGCCAGTGTGCCCGTGGCGCACTGAGCCCAAAAACTCAGACACATTGAGCACTGCCACACAGCGAGGCCGGTTATGTACCGTTAAGAAATCATATAGAAATGTCCGAACATTTTAAGTGCTTAAGTTTGGGATGCTGGTTTGAACGCAATTGGACAATACTTCGATTTCGAACTAATTTTCGTAATGCATCACATCGTTAACCACAATATATGTACCATATGTATATCCTTTAAAACGTTCATGTATCGTGCTTCTCTGAAGTAAACCATAAGGGCTTTATTATTGTTTTTAATTTAGGTACGCAGAGCAAAATATATAAATTAAAAAGCTCAAAACTTGCTCTGCTTCATTACATATAGATTTAATTCCTAAGAAACTGATAAATCAAAAGGTATTTAAATATTTAATACGTAAGAAAGTGAAATTAATAAAAATGTATGTAAAAATAATGCTTTACTCGTGGAAACTTATAACTTAAAAAAAATAAAGAGGAATGTTATAGCTTTTATAAATCGGGACAAAATTCAAATTAATGTAATAATTTTCGGTTTAAAAAATGAACCGAATTTATTTTAAGAAATGTAAATTATTACGTAATCGTTCTCCTTAAAACAAACCCCTTTCTTCCGAATATATAAAACATTAAATGCCTAATTTTCTTATAAAAAAACTTAATAGATTCAATGATGCTTGATATTTCTACCTACCATATAAATTATATGTCAAAATTTTGTTTTTTGCGAATACCCGTTTTTATGCTTTTAAACGATGCAAAATAATTTCCCAACGCTGCTTAAGGTTGCATGTCACACACACATGCGGTCCTTTAATCCAAGTAAAAGTAAGAAATGATTATGATAAATTGCAGTATGGCTAAATTAACTTTTACATATTTTACACACAGACAGCGATGCCGTTGAAAGTTCGTGGTCCGGGCCAGAAGAAGCGTCAAGTACTCTTTGGAATGCGCTGCAGCAGACGGTGGCAAGGTGACTTAGTACATGAGAGTTCGCTCAGCTCAAACGACTCCCGTGGGTCGCACATTGGTTGGCGGCTGCGCGGCACTGGGCTTGGTCATGATGTCCATGGCGTTTTTGAAGAGTTGTGTCTTCACAAAGTCCGTGGCGGCGGAGTTCAGATCCTTGCTGGCGCCATAGTTGCACTTAATGTAGCCATACAGATTGGCTGCATTAAGCGCGATTGCAATCATTACCAGTAGCAGCCACTTAAACTTGAGACCAAACAGGGCCAACAGGAAGAAAAGGCTCCAGAAGACGGGACAGAGGATGAGTCCCAGCCAGAAGACACGCTGCTCGTGCTTGTTGATCCGACTCTGGTAGGATTCAGACTGCGTTTCATCATCATGGGCTTTCAAGTTGGTTTATCTCGTGACTCACGTTCTTTGACTCAAACACCCAGTGTGACACTCCATCGTCGTCGACGTAGTTCCACCAGCGCAGACCCACTAGCAGTCTTCCTGAGATATTTTTGACAGTCCAGAAGTCGGCGGACAGAAAGAGCACCACGAAGACAAAGCTGGTGATGAAGGATTCGCTGAACCAGCCGCAAAACATGTAGATCACGATGGCGGCGCCCCTGAAGAACAGATGGAAGAAGGTGACGTACGGGTGCCTGTGGGGTAAAGAGGGTTACCGAAGTTGGTCTTAGAGATCCAATTGTTCTATGCGGTTCTGCCTACGTGTATTTCTGGCCCGCGCGACTGGGATCCCGCATCTCGTCCTCCTCGCCGAAAGGTATCGTGTCATCGTCGAGCAGCGGCACCTGTATTACACGTAAGTTTGATTAGTTCAGCTTTTCCAGACTCTAAATGGGAGTTTTTCGAAGAAAACCTCGGGTCGTATTGTCAGGGTGGCACACCAAATAAGCAAATTGTTAGGTGTTAGTGCGGCATACATACATTTCTTACCGTTGCGGAAGCCATGCTTGTGTTCAAAATTACTTTTAATTCCTAGTTGTGTTTAATTTGTATCAGTTTTTCTCTGTTTTTAAGGTTTTTAAAACATTTTCTTCGCTTAATCCCGTTGTTGTTGGTTTTGCCTGCGTAGCAGTGTGACCGTGGAAGAGACAAAAAAACATACCGTTTGGCTCTTAAAAATATACTACGTTTAGGCATCGCAATTGCCGATTGTTGAACGCTAAAATTTAAAGCTATATTTTGGTTGTGGGCTTTACAAACTCTGCAAGTATTTAAAAAATGTTCTTCAAAAAACGCACAGCTTGGGGAATATTGTATCGTATTGTATGCATTTTGGTAAACATTTCAAAAAATTAAAGCCTCATATTTGAATTCCTTTGTTCCAAAATCGTAGCTAAATCGAGGACGTTAACTTGACGCAATATTAACAAAAGGGCTTTCCCCTGCTTTGTAATCAGATCTTGAATATACAGTGACAAACTTAATTATTGGCACAGCAAGCATGTTAAACTTTGAGGCTATTTTTCTTCTTATAATATGCTGATATTAAAATAAAACAAAATATTTTTAGATAGAATCATTAATTTTATGTTAAATACAAGTGACTTCATTAATTTTTCTTTTATAAATAATTTATTAAAAATAAAAAACCAAAGAATGGACCAAATTTGCCTGACTATTTTGTTAAAACTTTATCGATTTGGCCACTTTTTTTTTAATTATCACATTTGCCTCTATAATCTTAATGGAATAATTATTAATTTTATAGCTAAAATTGTTTTAGTGCCTTAAAATAAAGGAAAAGATGTTTGACTTTACAAGGTAAAAATAAAATCAACCGCAAGTGTCCAAAAATTAAAATTTAATAAGCAGGATCAATGCAAATCGAAAGTCAAAATTGGGAAAAGGATGCCCAGAAGCCATTTTTCCCATTCGGAGTCCTTTACTACATTTTAAAGGACCCACGCAGTTGCAAAATGCAGGGCACACTGGCTAATCCATGGCTTTGAGAGGCCAGGAAAGCGTAAGGATCGTATAAAAGGACAATGTCAACCCCCAGATCTTCTCAACACGTATCGAAGTTGATGATAAGAAGGACTTTGGTAAGGATATTCACCCAACAGCCTTTATTTAGGCCCTGCATGATGGTTTCTACAAACGAATTGCTCCTAGAAAAATCCATCGGCTTGAAAAGGGTTCTAACATAAGCTCTTTGCTTGGGGAAAGGATAATTAAATCATACGAGAAGGTTGAAAGGACCCAAAAGTCGATTGGCATACTCAGATATCAATTTCGCTGCACTAAAAGGTTGTTTTTGACTTTTAAAATCTATTGATTTTTTCTAGGAGCAATTCGTTTGTAGAAACCATCATGCAGGGCCTGAAAAAAGGCTGTTGGGTGAATATCCTTACCAAAGTCCTTCTTATCATCAACTTCGATACGTGTTGAGGAGATCTGGGGGTTGACATTGTCCTTTTATACGATCCTTACGCTTTCCTGGCCTCTCAAAGCCATGGATTAGCCAGTGTGCCCTGCATTTTGCAACTGCGTGGGTCCTTTAAATGCGGCAAAGGACTCCGAATGGAAAAAATGGCTTCTGAGCATCCTTTCCTCAATGTTGACTATCGATTTGCCTTGATCCTGCATATTAAATTTTAATTTTTGGACACATGCGGTTGATTTTATTTTTACCTTGTAAAGTCAAACATCTTTTCCTTTATTTTAAGGCACTAAAACAATTTTAGCTATAAAATTAATAATTATTCCATTAAGATTATAGAGGCAAATGTGATAATTAAAAAAAAAGTGGCCAAATCGATAAAGTTTTAACAAAATAGTTAATTAAAACCCAAGTGTGCCAATAATTTTGTTCAGGCAAATTTGGTCCATTCTTTGGTTTTTTATTTTTAATAAATTATTTATAAAAGAAAAATTAATGAAGTCACTTGTATTTAACATAAAATTAATGATTCTATCTAAAAATATTTTGTTTTATTTTAATATCAGCATATTATAAGAAGAAAAATAGCCTCAAAGTTTAACATGCTTGCTGTGCCAATAATTAAGTTTGTCACTGTAGGCTTTGATCTGCTTTTGTGGCATGACGACTATGAATCACCAGCTGTTTTTTATTTTTTTATTGGCTTCTATGAATTTGGGGAATCCCGGAAATAAGTTTTAATGGGGTTTTGTCAAAAATGATCAAAAAGTATTGATTTGGTTGACGATTTACTTTAAATTTTACTTTAAATGGGATCCATTTAAAGTAAAATAACTTACAGTCAATATATGTAGTCTTTTAAAAAACTATTTTCAACTTCAAACCACTTAGCTTGTTGAGGGTATACATAATAAAATATTTTTATTTCAATCTCATTATAAAACAGTTTTAACTTTAGCTTTCATGTAAATCTATACATTTTTTCCATGAAATGTAATTAGTATGAATATAGGATATTACAGTTTATTTTTCTTTGTTGCGTCCTTTTGTTGAAGTTGGGCTCAAATTTTTTTCCAGCACAGTGCACCTTTCAAGGTTCCATATTCTTCAGCGAAGTAGTTGATTCATCATTTTCGAATTTAATTGAGCTTGATAGAGATCCCCATGTAATTTTATATTCTTCTGAACTACATTAATCCTTTCATTTAATTTCCTTATCTGGTTCTGAATCCTATTTCGATCGAGTATATCAGTTGTCTGTCTCAATTTATCCTCGAGCACAGCAATTTCTTGTTTAATTTGCCCAATTTCACATTGAGATGTTTGCACCGAGCTTATATATTGATTAATATCCATGTTAGATTACGTTCAATGTGTGTTGAGTCACTGAAGACAGTATTATCTTCCTTTGTTCGGAGAGAAATAAATGATGAATATTCCAGATTCAGATGTGGCAGAACTGTGTTTTTACCCGCGCCTTAGATTGACTTATAACCACGTCTTAATAGAGTAAATATTCCATAAGGTCTATAAAAAAATACTAATATTTATATGCTTTCTTTTGACTGTGAAAGAGACTTGCAAATAAAGGCTTTCCTTGCTGGCGCCGCCCGGTCACACTGTACACAATCAGCTGTTGCTGGTTTGGAATTTAATTTTTGCATTGCCTGGGCTCCACAGATGGATGGAAAAGATCCTGGACACCTGCACCCATGGCCACTCTGAACGAAACTCTCCGTAGCCACTGGCTCATTGCTCTGTTCGGCCTTATCCTTTTCATCGCCGGGAGCACTGTGCTATACTGGAACGAAGGACGCGCCGTGCACAACATGATGGCGCTGGATGAAGCGCACGCCGACATTTACTCAGTTCGATTCACGGAGGAGGAACAGGAAGTGGGTCTCGAGGGAAGGATCATCCACCTATCCGGCCCCATCATCGTGGGCGAACCGCTCACCGAACCAGACTACAATATCCAACTGCTGGCGGTCAAGTTGCGGCGCCGCGTCCAAATGTACCAGTGGGTCGAGGAGACCGTGTAAGTAGCAGTCAAAGGGCTTAAATCCTACATATGTTAGTTCTACACATTTGAAGCCGGTATATGTTCTTATTTTTCGGTTTTGTTAGGATGACTTTGTCTGTTAATAAGGTTATAAGGTTGTAATTTAAAAAAATATAGATTTGCTATTACTAAAAGTCTTAGACAAGAAATATTATTCAATTATGATATTTTTATGTTTTTAAAAGACAAAATATATTACAATTTTATTGGATATTTAATTCTAATTAAAACCTTTCCAGAAATACAAGAAAACAAAAATATGTATATATTGTAAAATATTTATAATCAAATCGTGTAAAGGTTGTAGTTATAGAAAATCACACTAGATCCAACTCAAATATGTGTTATCCTTTCAGTGAGCACAACTATGGCGAGAGCGTGGGAACGACGCAATCGGACTCGCGGACTTACTACTACACGCGGGAATGGCGGGACAAGATCGTAGATTCGCGGAACTTTTACAACCGCCACGGCCACACGAATCCCAGCCATTTTCCCATCGAAAGCCACGTTCAGGTGGCGGATGCCGTCTACATAGGTCGCTATGAACTAGGTTCTGAAGTGAAGGACAAGTTCGGCAGCTACCAGGATCTCACCTCGGACATCCGGCCAGAGGACAGCACTGTAAAGCTGCACCTTGGTATCTATTACCACACCAATGATGTGTTCAATCCAGAGGTGGGCGACCTGCGGCTCCTCTTCAGCTTCGCGGGAATGGAGGGCGAGATGTTCAGTGTAGTGGGCAAGTTGTCAGGAAACAAACTAGTTCCCTTCATCACATCACGCGGAGTACCGGTTCTGCTTGTCTATCCCGGAGGACTCAGCGTCCAGGAAGTTTTCCGCCTGGAGGCACGAGCTCAAGTGCTGCATACCTGGTGGTGGCGCTTCGTTGGATGGCTGCTCATCTTCTTCGGTGTCACCTGCAACACCAAAATTCTTCGTCTTTTATGTGAGTGCCAAAAGAGTTTTCCAATCAAATTCCAACCGAAAGTAGAGTGTTGGTTCCCACAAATACTGGGTTTTATACCAACATTACTGAAACCTATAACTTTCTGAAATACCGGCCTTAAGTTTCTGCATTAATATATTCAAAATTATTTTTAGACTATGTAATGTTATCCTGTGCTCTAACTCACTGTAATAACTTTTATGTTTTGAAGAATAAGCGGTTTGATTTTTACAATTTCGTTTATATTGTACTAACATTTCAGTTCGGAAGAATTAATTGTTTATTTAAAGTAGAAATGATATTTACTAATAATAATGACACAGAATTAAACCTTGATTTCTTAAGCTACAGTCTAAAGACAAATTAATATATAACCTTGTTAACGTCACAAATTGCCAAGAAAGAAATGAGCCAGAAGTGGAGAAAACCCACTAACAGGTGTAAGAAAATATGAAAATGAAATGAAGAAATGACTCCACATTGTTTAGTTACCAAATCAGTAACGCTTTTTTCTCTTTTTTTCTACCTCCAGTTATCAGGGTACCACTACTGGCGGCCTTAGCCCCGGATCCCCAGTTCCCGGTGACGGGCAACCTGCTAATCGCCTTCTCGATGGCCTTGACCATTGCGGCAGTGGCCTGGATCCTGCATCGTCCTGTGATCGGCGCCTGCCTCTTTCTGGCGGGAGCCTCTCCCTACGTCTGGTTCACCCGCAATCTGGTAGATTACCAGCGCCTGGACTGATCCTCCTCAACACCATCTCGCATCTTATTTACAGGTTTATTTATTGTTGATTCTCCTTGTTAAGCTAACACTATGTCATTTGCCATTTACCCCTCGGCCAATAAAAACTTAATAACACTTAGTAACTAATTAAACTTAGAACTCCCTGATGCCCGCGTTCGTGGTGCTGCCAGCTGTTCCTCCTCCGCCACCGCCTGTTCCACCCGCAACATTGGGCTTGGATTCGCTTGAGGTGTGCACACTGGGACTCTGGGATTTGTCCTGCTCCTCGTGCCCGTTTGGCGGCTCCTCGTAGCGTACGTAGGGCTCGAAGCTGTTGTTGATTTGAACGGAACCGCGATGCAGATTGTTAGACTCGGCCTCGAACAGGATTTCGTTGATGAACCGCTCGGCCAGAAGTCTCTGTTCGCGGGGTAATCTTTTTAGTTTGTGCGTCCAGGTGCGGGCAATGGACTCCTCCTCGGGATAAGTGCCCGCCAGATACTCGCAGGCTATGTTGAGTAGCTCATCGTTATTGTGGGATGTTCCAGAGGGTCCTGCAGATCCTGTTCCTCCTCCCGGACAGGGTGGTGTTTGCCTGGCCCGCTTGTTGGTCACATAATCGACATGGTTGGCTGCCGGCGGCGGTGGTGGTGGAGGCCCAAAGGATTTGTGAAACATTTCGGAGATATTGGGGGTTTGTCCTCCTGCCCGGGAAGGAGTATAGTGCAGGGGAGCTCCTTGGCCATCCAGAAAAGCACTGGTGCAATTGCTACCCTCGCTGAAGGCAAAGGAGGGCTCGTTCTTGAAGGCGGGATTGACGGCCAAGAACTTTTCCGAGTTGCGCAGGAAGTCCAGCTCCTGGAAAGTCCAGCAGCGGGGACTGTGGAGATTACCCGACCTCATGGCACTCTCCACAACTTTGAGTTCCTTGCGGTAGTTCGTGCGCAGGGTATTGATCTTCTTCTTCACATCCTCCACCGTGGCGTCCCTCTTGAGATAATGGTAAATGGGCACCAGGCGTAGATAGGCTTCCGCACGCTTCTCCCGATTGGTGTAATCCCGGAGAGAAGTGTCCCACAGGACGGGCAGATCTCTGTAGGTCTGGATGAAGGCGCGCAGGTAGTGTCGGTTCTCCTCCGCCCCCGACATCACCTTCAATCCGTGGGGCGGCGTTTGGGGCAGCATTTTCCTTGGAGTCCGGAGTGCCTGCTTCCAATCCGCTTAAGCCAAATCCTTCAGAAACCCTCAACTCTTCACCGAGCCCTGCAAATCCTGTATGGACCTATTGACCAACTGTCAATGCGGGCGAACGTTTGTTGTTGTAATTGCGCGTTTGACAGATTGTTTGCCATATTGACGTAATGGCTGCGTGTGTGTGTGGGTGTGCGTAACGATAAAGCAACAAGTGCGAAAAGGGTGGCAACGCCAGTCGCACCTATCGATATTGTGGTTGCGGTATTTTTATTCTGCAAAGTATTCTTTAGCGGGTAAATTAAAAATGACTTTTAAATTTTGAAGGCAGGTTTCGGAATCGTCGGAATTATGGTTTGTACATAAGGCTTTCAGGTTTTCCTAAATTAATATAAATATCATAAATAAATAAACACCAATTTATATATTCCAGTTACATCCACATCTTTTCCAAGACGCAGTTTTCATACTTATCATACTTATTTTATACAGGTAATAATAAATTATTTTATGGTAAAAGTCTATTGAATTGATGGTTTAACGATTAGGATGTTTGAAGCATGAAATAATAAATGAAATATTTTTGAAAACTCATTCAAGGGTGGCCGTAGTTTCCCGCCAACTGAAATTGGTATTTTTCTACCACCGTTTTGACGTGATTTTTTGGCGCCCCCGCCATGGTCACACCGCGCGGCACAGCAGCGAAAATGAAAACGAACCGGACGTGCTTGGCCGTTGAGTTTTGATTTGTAATTCCGACGCGCAGCCGTTGACGCGTGCCCCTTAAATTGTTTATCAATTTGTTAGTTAAAGTGCTTCCATAGGTACGCGGAATCGTAAGAATAAATAAAAAACATCAACAAGGCGACGCTGCCTGCGCGTGTGTGTGTGAGTGCGTGAGGGTTTCAGCCTTTGCGCGCCGCTTTTTAATTGAGTTATTTGTAAAAAAACAAAAAATATGTTCGCTAAATGCACAAAAACTGCGTTAAATTAATGAAAATAAATAAACGAATCGAGTACAAACGAATTATTTGTCTCCTTGTGAGTTCGTTCTGCCGTTGTGTGCCTGTGTTCGTGTGTTTTTGTGTATGTTCCACGAATTATTGGCCGTAAATTATAGAAGATCCATCGAAATGGAGACCATTGAAGAGCAATCCAAGGGCGGTGAGTACCGGAGGGGCGTGGCAGGTCCAAATACCTCGCAAATATTTCATTTTTCAATGTCGCTCAAAATGAAAGAGGCGCCGTGAGAGGGCGGGGTGAAAACCACAGTCGCGGCCAAAAGATCCTCATAAAATATGTCGAAATACGACTATAAGTACATGTTAATATGTATGAGTGTGACTAAAAAAGAAACGGCATCGCGTCGCTGATATTTTATTCTTTATTTTCTGAATTTATTTCGGTGTAGAAAATATTTATCGCATAAAAAGAATTGTGTGTGCAAAATGCCTACTGGCTCTCTCCTCCTCTCTTCCCGTCCCTCTCTTCACCGGCACTGTACCGACAACAACAACTGAGACGCTTAACTGTTGTGAGAGTAAAATTAAGGACAGGCGAAAACAATACAAGTGGGCAGCTCCTGTGATCAGTGATGCCCGTTACGATTTTGATCGCTATATAGCTAGGTAGCTAGTCACTCAAGTACTCGCAAAAAATTAATTTAATAACATTATGTTAAATATTGTGCCTAAATGTATTTTATTATTTCTTGTGTTTTTCCCCTTTTAAATAGAGAATCAATTATAACTAAATATTTTACTTTACTTTAAAAGCTTGTAGATATTTATTATCTTCATTTGATTAAAAAAAGAAAAAGTTAGCCTCTTCAAAAAATTATTACAAAAAAGATTTTTTTTACTTGTAAAATTGCATAAAACTAAAATTTTAAATTAATATAAAATTTAAATATTTTGGATAATTTTCTTTTTAATTTGTTTTATAAATAAATACACATTAAGACTATAGAAGAATTAAAAATCTAATTTATCTAATAAGAATGAGAAAAGTCAAGATAAAATATAATTACATTTACGTAATTTCCTGCGTCAGTATTAAGAAAGTAAACAAAGTTATGTTGCCTTAAAGGCATTAAGCAATTTCATACATAATCATTTAAATATAAAAAAGGTTAGAGATAAATACATTTTTTTACAAAAAGCTAATTATTTATTGAAAAGAATATAATTTTAAAGACTTCTTTCAAACGTTCGCTTTCACGGTCAAAATCCTTCAAGTAACAATAAATTCTACCCAGTTCCCCATATCTAATATAAAGGTTAATGCCTTAAAAAATACGTGTAAATATGTTGTCTGGGAAGAATTTTTCCAATGGCGGCATAAACAAATAAAATTATCATTAAATGTATTTTGTGCCGGTTTTTGAGTCGCAAATAAAGCATATATCAATTAAAAGTTTATAATTTGGCTACCATTGAACAAATTCCCCTTTGATGTTGTTTAGCTTAAATGTGTAGCTACTTTTGGAAACATTTCCAGATGATAACTATATCTGCCTGCTCTGATACTCAACTCAGGTAGGAAGATCATATCCTGCTCTCTTTCCTTTCCCTTGCGCAGGGTCCCTGATCCTTGCTCTCTGCTTTTTCCGTTTCTGTTTTTACCGGGTGATTTTACCTACCACCCCGCTGGCCGATTGCCTCGTATTCCTTTTACACATGTTGACAGGCCGCACATGCCTACAACTATATTTTGTAGCCTGTTTTTTTGTCCCTCAATGCTAATGGCATTTTACATGCCACGATGACCTTCGGATCCGGTCTTCTCCTACGTCAAGGCTTCCGCGGTATGCGTAATTTTATTACAAGATTTTTCTTTGATGAGTCTGTGCTGTTGCTACAGGGACAAAAATAATTTTACTGTTAGCAACACTTTTTTTTTTATTTATGTTTGTTTATTGTTTAAAGGTTGCAATAAAACCAAAAATCTATTTAATATATAAAATAAAATTTCATTATCTGGTCTTCATTAAACAGAAATATTAGAAAATGTGTAACAAATTATTAGTTTATCTAAATATTATTGAATTTTTAAACATGTCTTTTGATTATATACTTCATTTGTAATTTCTAATTATTGACTTCTTGGTCAATTATATAATTTTATATGAACATATATTAAAAGGTGATTATGTTGAAAGAAATAAAATTTAAAAATATGGCTTTCTTGTTCTGCTTAGATTTGAATGTAATTCAAAAGATATTTTTTCTCTGTGTGGTAAGGCTGATCGCTCACAAAACCCAAACGGCCCTCTCCTTCCGATGGCTTTCATTTCTCAGATGCCACTCAATTAGGTTTTCATCATGTTTCTGGCAGGCAGCCAGCGAGGAAAAGCAGAAAAGAAACAACAGCGGATTTCGCTCAGGCAGAAAGGAAGGAAATTCCCGAATGCCGCAAAATGGTGGCCGCCACCTGTGAGTCTCTCTGCATTTTTCCCACACTTTGAAAATTTCGCTAAACCTTACCTTCCTCTCAACCTTAGCCACCACCTGTGGCTATGCAAAATGCGATTTCAGGGGTTCTCTGAGCCCGTCTTGCATTTAGTTATGTTTTAGAGCCCGATCCTCGAGGATCCTCGTGCAAAATGTTGCACCTACCGCTTGTTCAGTTCAACTTTGGAACCCATTTGGGCAAAAAGAGCAACAAATTGGTCACGGTTCAGCGACAATCCGCCTCGTATTTCACATATGCAGCCGCCGAGGAAGTCAAGCAGTCGAAGCTCCGACAGGCTGCCTTGTGTCAGGTGTACGAGGATTTTACAGGTATTTAGGGAGTCCCAGATAAACCCCTCAGGTACTTATTTCAAGGGTTGAATATTCGCAAAAGCAACAAGAAAAATATTGCTTCAGCGAGAGGGAAATTTAAGTAGGGTACGGGCTTTCGTGAATCATCCAGAAATCGATAAGCACTTGAAAAAGGTGTAAAAACGCTAAAATTAAAGCGAATTTCAAAAATAAATATATCTGTTTCAGTGGAAAACATTAAATGTCGCGCTGTGAAAATATGTATTAAATTGTTATCAAAGCAATTCTTCGAATTAATAAACCATGTTAGTAATATCTTAGCCATGTGATTTTTGTATTTTTGTTTCAACAGTGTTCTAATAATTCCTTTGAAATAGCTATGCAAAATTTAAGAACACTGAAAAGATTACTCGAAGATTTTTTTAATATCAGCAAATGTCATCCAAAAGTTAATAAATCAATAAAAGAAGTTAAATTAGATGAAGAGAATAATCTCTTTATTGCGATGTTTTCATCAAGATTACTCCATGATTTTTTCCCCCAATAATTCAGCATTCTCGGGGTGCACATTCCCTATCAAAGTTTTTATTAGATTTCACATTCCTGAGATATTCCTACCTTATAAACATTTTGTTAGTTCATAAATCCCACCGATTTCCATTAGGTAAATTGCATTGTTTTTATCGCTTGTTTTTGGAATGCATATCTGGAATATCTATCCACAAATTCCTGAACGTCAGAGAGAGAGTACGACACGAACTGCAGTTCTTCTTCTGCAGTTCCTGGACTTTGTTCAATTGCACAAGTGGCGAATGTCTCGCCAGATACAGATACGGATACAAGTGCTGGTGTACAGATATATAGATGCAATTGGCATCGGTTACAGCTGCACAATTCTGGATAAAATTAATGCAACAAAGCCGCCGTCTGTGGCCTTCTTCCATGTGTTGTGTCCATGTCGATTGGGGGTAAATGATTTGCACTTGAAAACATTTTCTAGCCCTAGTATTTTGCGTTGTTTTCATTTCGCACACTACTTTCGTTGTGTGTCAAAAACTATGAAGGTCGCTTATTTCGGCGGCTAAGAAATCGACACAATTAAAATTGATGTCAACAGCTCGCAATTTGGCTTCTTAATGATCGACAGCGCATTCATGGGGATTCTGCTGACCAGGCCCCCATCCTCCATCTATATAATCCTCAAGGGGTTCTATTTTGGTTAGTCGCTCTGCTCTATTTCGTGAATTTTCTTTGTTTTATTTTGCACAATTTTCGCTCGATCTCATTCGCTGTCTCGCATACTCAATTGCATAAACAAACAAATCCACAAAATAGCCATAAATCAAACCAAATCTTGTTTCCAGTCCCCTGTAAACAAAAACGAGTTGGGTTGTTGAGTTGCGGGTGTTACAAAAATCGGAAAATAATTAAGCATCCTGTGAATTAAATATTTATTTTATTAGGAAT